CTACCTATTTTAAATATGTGAGAACAAATAAAATCCCCTGCATTCAAACACAAGCCAGGACAGTGTGAGCCATTGCTCCTGCACATCTCAACACGTCTCCAGACTTCTCTCTCTCTCTTCCCCATGCAGGCCAGCTGACTGGGGGACATTGTGTTTGCTTATCTAATTTATTCCAAAATCTCCCACCTCATTAAGCATCCATGGGAGCCACTGACTTAAGCCTGTGTAATATTCCCTCCTCCATTCTTAACAAATTCATCTCAGAACACAAGGTACCTCCACCTCTTGTAAGTTGTGTTTCAGTGTCTCGTGCACTGGCTTCAACGGCAATCCTCTCAGCAAAGTGCCACTGGGTTGGGTGTCACCATCTTTTCTTCACAACATTTTGAAGGCTTGACCTCTGTCATTCCTAAGACTGGACATCTGCCAGAACTCACACAGTAATTGCAGTATTAGATACATTTTTTCTGGCAATGGAACAGCTTATGAATTCAGAAATTGTGTAATAATCAGAAGACAAATATAATGAAATAAAGAAGCAAATTTTCAGTGAGAGAAAGGATTTTTGTCATGAAAAATTTCCTCTTGCTATTTTTCTCTTCAAACCCCCTTTTTTTGTTGTTGTTGTTGGTTGGGGGCTTGAACTCTGGGCCTGGGTGCTGTCCCTCAGCTCTTCAGTTCAAGGTTAGCACTCTGCCACTTGAGCCACAGCACCACTTCTGACTTTTTCTGTTTATATGATGCTGAGGAATCGAACCCAGGACCTCATGCATGCGAGGCAAGCACTCTACCACTGAGCCACCTTCCCAGCACCAAATCCCACTTTTAAAAGAGGAATTTGAATAAAGTATTTCCAAAGAGAGTGTGCAGCCTCTGTGGAATTACACAAGGAAATTCCTGATTACACAAAGCTTGATCAATTTCATGCACAAACCTTTCAGATTATTCTTACAATATATGATTTTCTGAAAGATCATTCTTTCCTAGTTGCTTTTGTTCTAAACACCTTCCAGTACAAGTTTGCAGAGGCTGAGACTCAATCAAGCAAATTCAGTCAGTCATATATATTCCTACCAGCCCTCAGCACTTGGGTGACATTCTTAATCACCTATTAAGCACTGAGAGAGAAAGAGAGAGAGAGAGAGAGACAGTATGTTGGTCCTTGGGGCTTGAATTCAGGGCCTGGGCGCTGTCCCTGAGCTTTTTTGCTCAAGGCTGACTACCACTTGAGCCAGAGCTCTATTTCTGACTTTTTGGTGCTTCATTGGAGATAAGAGTCTCACAGACTTTCCTGCCCCAGATGGCTTTGAACTGTAATTGTCAGTAATCTTAGTGAGAAGGTAGGATTATAGGCATGAACCACTAGCACCCAGTAAGGCCCATATCTTTTGATATCCTAGGGAACTTCAGGTAACATGTTCCCCTATATAAACTTCTTAAAAACCTTAAATCTCCATAATCAATACAAAAGCATGCAAGCAAGTATAATTTATATTTAGTACGAATATAATTATACTGGTATTTATATATTATGAAGTAAGGTCATAATTCAAATTATATTTTTATAATAATATAAACAATATTAATCAGATGTAAAGGAATCGTATTTATTTTAGTTTTATGCCTTAATGTACGCGCTAGCAAGCTTCAGTGTATGATGAACATAATATTATTTAGTCTTTCCAGAGCTTCTGTTTCTTTCATTTCCCACACTGGATCTTTTATTATTGATGTAGACCCAATTATTTAAGTTTCAATGTTTCTTAATCTCACTTAACTATTCTATAATTTAGATTTTTCTACAGATTAGGTTTTCTCTAGAAAATCTCCCTGGCTGCTTCTAGTGTTAAGTAAATAGAGTTGGGATAGAGTTTGCTCTGCTTAGTGTTTTAAAGTAGATACTCCCAGTGTGAAAAACTGCTCTTCTACAGATTAGATTTTGAAAACCATCTATAATCCCATTCAAGGAATATATGGTACACCTGCACTGTCCACCTGCACTTCAGCTTACCTGTTTCACCTGTGTTAGGTGGCTTTTCACTTTCACTGCTACAAGAAACACTCAAGATAATCACATTGAGATAGGGAAAGGGCTGTTTAGTGTCATAGTTTTGGGCTTTTTGCCTGTGACTGCTTGCCTTGCTCCTGAGGGACAGAACAGGGTAGGACACCATGGCAGAAGACTGTCAGAGCAGCACTTCTCACCACAAGGCCGGGAGGCAGGGCGAAGGCCCATGTCCACTTGGAAGGCAAACCCCAAACACAGCCACATGTCACCAGCCCACACTCTGGTGAGGTTCTACCATTGCACAATGCTGCTATGCTTGGAATCAAGAACACTTCTCAGGATCCCTGATAGCCAAGAGCTGGGACATGGCTCAGGGAATAGAGAACCTGCCTAGCAAGTGCAGAAAAAAAAAAGTATAAGCTACTGTAGCATTATAAGATACTCAAAGTACTACACATAATTGTGTGAGCTTTCTAAAGAGATTTTTTTATTGTGAAAATACCATAGAGTAGGATATATGTGAGCAAGGTAATGAGTGTATTTCTTATCAAGCATTGTTTCCTCCTCCTTTGTTTCCCCTTCCCATCACCCCCCCCACCCTTGTGCCCCCGCTTCCCCCTCCCCCGCCCCCAGCCAAATTTATAAAGTTCATTTTTCGACATTATGTCTTGTACATCTCATTGTTGCGATTGGTCCACCTGTATCCCTTTTTAAACAATTTGTTTTTTCCCTTCCCCGCCAACAAATTATACCAACATCAAATACAGTGACAGCAGGGGTTATACCATGGGGGAGGGACATACAAGCAACAAAAAAATCATCTTATAAATATGTTAGAAACAATCGCAAGAAAGAAAAAAACATTTGAGTCCTTATCTTGGGGTTCATTTTGCCTAACATCAACTTATCTGACTGTTTCTGCTTATCTCAGACATATGCTAGTTATTGCAAATAAGGGAAACCATGGGACCTATGTTTCTTTGGGCCTGGCTTACTTCATTTAATATACTTTTTTCCAAGTCTTTCCACTTCCTAACAAATAGAGCACACACACACACACACACACACACACACACACACACACACTCACCACATTTTCTTGATCCATTCATCTACTGAGGAGCATCTGGGTTGGGGGTTGGTTCCATATCTTAGCTATGGTAAATAATGCTGCAATAAACATAGCTTTAATAAGGTCTTGTTTGTGATCATTTGTGTAAATGCCCAAAAGTGGGATTGCTGGGTCATAGGGGAGCTCTATGTGGAGTCTTTTGAGGAACCTCCATACTGCTTTCCAAAGTGGTTGAACAAATTTACACTCCCACCAACAATGCAGTAAGGTTCCCTTCTGTCCACATCTCCTCCAGCATCTGTTGTTATTAGAGTTCTTGATTATAGCCATTCTAATTGGAGTGAGGTGGTATCTCAATGTTGTTTTGATTTGCATTTCTTTTATGGCTAGAGAGGTTGAGCATTTCTTCATGTGTCTACTGGCCATCCTTCTTTCCTCTTCAGAGAAGTTTTTCTTTAAGTCTTTAGCCCACTTATTTATTGGGCAGTTGTTTCTTTGAAGATTTGTTGTTGGGGGATTTAATTTTTTGAGTTCCATGTATATTTTAGATATGAGACCCTTGTCCATTGTATGGCTAGTGAAGATCTTCTCCCAATCTGTGGGCTTTCTACTGATCTTGCTAGCTATGTCCTTTGCCATGCAGAAACTCTGCAGTTTCATGCAATCCTATTTGTTCAAACTTTCTTTGATTTGTTGTGTTTCTGGGTCTCTATTAAGAAAATTTCGGCCTGTGCCAAGGAGACCTAGGGTTTCTCCTATTCCATCCTGTAGTGTTTTCAGAGTGTCTGCTTTGACTAGGAGTTCCTTGCTTCATTTGGAGTTGATTCTGGTACAGGGTGATAGGTAAGGATCTAGCTTTAGTTTTCTACAAGTAGTTAACCAATTTGGCCAGCACCATTTACTGAAGGGGCTGTCTTTCTTCCATTCTATTTTTTAGCTCCCTTATCGAAGATTAGATGGCTATAGGTCTGTGTGTTCATTTCTGGGTTTTCAATTCTATTCCATTGGTCCTGAGGTCTGTTCTTGTGCCAGTACCAAGCTGTTTTGATTACTATGGCTTTGTAGTAGAGTTTGAAATTTGGTATTGATATTCCTCCAGCACTGTTCTTTCTGTTGAGGATCGTTTTTGCTATTCGGGTTCTTTTATTGTTCCATATTGAATTTTTGGATTGCCTCTTCTATTTCCTTGAAGAATGAGGTTGGAATATTGATAGGTATCACATTGAATTCATAGATAGCCTTGGGAAGTATTGCCATTTTCACGATGTTGATCCTTCTAATCCAGGAGCATGGGAGGTTTTTGCCACTTTCGAAGTTCTGTTTTGATTTCCTTTTTCAGGTTTTTAACGTTTTCATCATAGAGGTCCTTCACTTCTTTAGTTAATTCCTAGGTATTTTATTTTTTGTGGGGCAATTGCAAATGGAGTTTCTGGGGCTGGGAAGGTGGCTCAGTGGTAGAGCACTTGCCTTGCATGCCTGAGGCTCTGGGTTCGATTGCTCAGCACCACATAAGCAAAAAGAAAAAAGCTGGAAGTGGTGGTATGGCTCAAGTGGTAGAGCACTAACCTGGAGCTGAAGAGCTGAGGGACAGCGCCCAGGCCCAGAGTTCAGGCCCCACGACTGGACCCCCCCCCCAAAAAAAAAAAGCTAAAAAAAAAAATGGAGTTGCTTTCCTGATTTCAGCCACACTTTTTTCATTGTTGGCATACAGAAAAGCCATTGATTTTTGAGGGTTAATTTTATACCCTACTTTGCCAAAGTTTTTAATCAGCTTGTATAATTTGGAAGCAGAGTCCGTGGGATTCTTTAAATACAAGATCTTGTCATCTGCAAAGAGGGAGAGTTTTACTTCATCTTTCCCTATTTGGGTCCCATTTATGTTTGCATCTTGTCTTATTACTGTAGCTAGGCATTCTAATACTAAATTGAACAGAAGTGGAGAGAGTGCACATCCTTGTCTCGTTTCTGAGTTAAGCGGAAATGGCTTTAGTCTAAAAGAGAGAATTTATAACCAAAATATCACCATACATTTTGCAAATGAAAATAAAACAGAAAACTAATAGAATATAGAAAATACAAAGCAAAACAAAATCAATACATATAATGCCACTTTTCAACACTTTTGTATTAATTTTAAATGCAAAAATATATGATTTTTTTGTTTTGGGGTTTTTTTTTGGTGGTAGTGGCGCTTGAACTCTGGGCCTAGGCTCTGTCCCTGCACTCTTCAGCTCAAGGCTAGCACTCTACCACTTGAGCCACAGCACCACTTCTGGATTTTTCTGCTTACATGGTACTGGGGAATCGAACCCAGGGCCTCATACATGCAAGGCAAGTGCTCTAAACTGAGCCACCTTCCCAGCCCTTAAGCCACTTTTGAATAACACAAATACTGTTTGCATTTCGAAGTTCTTCCATTTTTCTAGATCAACTTGCATTAACACATGTTGAGTTCTTCCTTTAAATTATACCAGGAAAAGTATGATTTCAGCAAGTAAGCTCCCTCTGCTCTCAATCCTGAGCCCAAGAGACAGCTAGAATCCCAAGGGAGTGCGGGCAAAGGTAGTAGTAGGCCCAGAGTTCCTGTGGCCTCACTTGGGGAGCATCAACTGCAAACCTGCTCTGACTCATGCTGTGCATATGGTAGAGCATAAAGAACCTCACTAACACTAATTTGGCCTGGGCATTATTTCAAAACATTGTGTGTGTGTGTGTGTGTGTGTGTGTGTGTGTGCACGCACGCGCACACACACACAGGCTGATCCTGGGATTTGAACTCAGGGTCTGGGCACTGTCCCTGAGGTATTTTGCTTGAGGCTGGTACTCTACCACTTGAGCCATAACTCCTCTTCTGGCTTTTTTGGTAGATAACTGGGAAAAAGGTCTCAAGGACTTTCCTCCCCAGGCTGGCTTCGAATGATGATTCTCAGCATCTCAGTTTTCCAAGTAGCTAGGATTACAGATGTGAGCCACCAATGCCTAGCCTCAAGCATAATTGAATATGCTTAGAATTATGGTTACTATTTGAACCTTCACATTGATCCTTTAGCATTAGGAAAATTATTGACACAAGTTGGGAATCACAGGGAAACTTCTTTAAATGTGTAGAGATAATAGGCACAGAAGTGCCAAGTAAATGAATGTTAGAGCAATGTAAATGAACAACAGGAGCCCCCGGTGCCGGAATTTACAGCGCACAGCAGATTCTGCATGAGGGGATTCCAACACAGGAGAGGATAATGTGCGGCCACTCATATATTCCCTTTGTCACTCCTCTCTCCAGATACAACTGCTAATACCCACGTAGATTTTCTTGGGTTGCAAAACAGAGCCAGAATCCAGGGGTTATAATCCTAGCTACTGGGAGGCAAAGATCTGAGGATGGCAGCAGAAATCATGAGATCAATCCAGGCAGGAAAGTCCAGACTTTAGTTAACCACAAAAAAGATGGAAGTGAAGCTGTGATTCAAGTGGTAGAGCACTCACCTTGTGCAAAAATAGCTAAGGGACAGCACCCAGGCTGTAAGTTCAAGGCCCAAGACCTGCACTCATGCACAAATGTACACATGTGCACACACAGAGGCACACACGCGCGCGCGCACACACACACAGCCCTAGCACACTCATTTTAAAGGGTAATTGTGGGACTAAACTCATCACCAGTTCTTCTAGCTCCTATACCTTGACGACCACATCTTATTTATCCTCTCCAGTCTGTTCTCTCATTCTCTTATTTCCTTCTTTTATGATGAAATCCAGTTACAGCTTAAATAACATTCTGCTTAACATAGCAGAATGCTGGCATAAAATGAGTGCTCATTATATGGCAGTGATTTTTCTGTTATTGAAACTACAAAGCAGCCATGCTGATGGCTTTGGCTGAAAATAAGTATGTGAAGAGTAATCGAGTGGCTGTGATAACCCAATGAGACAAAAATAAAAGACATCCCTTAGACCAGGTGACTTCCCCTTCCTTCCTTAGGTGATGTCATTGGAGATGTCCCCCTCCTCCCTCAACACAGAGACATCTCCCTCCTCCCTTAGACCTGGTGACATCATTGGAGACTTCCCCCTCCTCCCTTAGACCTGGTGACATTGTTGGAGACTTCCCCCTCCTCCCCCAGGCCCTGGCTGAGGGAGTGCAGAACACTGCTTACCTTCAGTTACAGTTACACTGCGGTGGATGTGTTCTTAAGAGTCATTTCACAGCTGGTGATGTTACTCATGTCCTAAAATAAGAGGGAAAAAAACTCCAATTCTGGCTGAAGCCATTGCCTCTATTCAACAGATGATCACCAAGTGAATTCCAATCTCTCCCTCTCACAGGGCCTTTTGGTTCATGGCTGTTGCTCTACCTCCTGAGCCATGCCTCTGGTTCAGCTTTTTGCTAGTTAATTAGAGATAGAGGGGTATGAACTTCTCACAGTACTCTTAATCTCAGTTTTTGGCAGCTGGAGTTGTTAGAGGTGCCAGCAGCCTGGCCACTGGTGCCACTTCCCCTCCCCCACTTCCTAGAATTTCACATAGTAGGGTTACAGCTTTGAGAGCTGCCACATTCCACCCCAAATAAGACACCTATGACTATTAACTGAAAAAATGGTACAGGTACATAAAGTATGACCATTACCAAATCCAATAATTATGTTATCACTGTACATCAGAGAAATATAAATTATGAAGAAGTACAGTGAGTTTGGATATTCTGATATTCTCTTCAAAAGATGCCAGGATTTAGGATCTTGATTGTTATACTTTCCTTCTTTTTAAAATTAGCATATACTAATTGCACAAGGTGAGTTACATTTTGACATAGAGGAGAAGGAGCAGAAGAAAGTGGTAGAAGAGGAGAGGAGGAGGCAGAAGAGGAATAGGAGGAGGATGAGAAAAGGTGGAAGGAGGAAATTGTAAATGGAAAACAAAACTATCCTATTTAACAGAAGCTTTAGATATTTATTTCCCATATACTAACTGTATTCTAGAAAAACTGTCAGGTGCCATATCAAAGATCAAAAAGAGGTCAACTGGAAACGTAAAAGTTTTCTACCAGTAACAAAGCATGAAGGATTAAAGACCTTAATAGTTTATGAGTGATGGGAAGCCACTAGCCCAGGTGAATCATGAAGTAGACCAAAACAAAAAGAGTAATTTTGTCTTGTAAAAGTTAATTTCTTAAGCCAGGCATTTAAGGATTACAGTGTGATACCTGTAATCCTAGCTACTCAGGAATCTAAGTAGCTAACCTGGCAAGAAAAATCTAAGACACTCTTACCTCCAATTAATTGCCAAAAAGCTGCATGTGGAGGTATGGATGGTAGAACAACAGCCTGGAGCCAAAAACAAAAACAAAAACTAAGGGATAACACCCAGGCCCTGAATATCAGCACATTAAAAAAATTAATTTCTTTGTGATGGTGATGGTGAAATTCTTGGAACTTTTAAAAATATCAACTTGCTGTGATTTTTTTCAGACATAAAATTTGCTTTTCTTTTAAAAAAATGCAACATTAGCCTAGAATTCAGTAAAATGGAGTCCAAAAGGGGAATGTAATCAACATACTGACTGTGAGGAGGAATGCAATTCACTTCTTGTAAAGAACTCTAACCAATACAAAACTCTTTTCCTTCCATCAGATATCACAGTACCATTATTAAAAACTACTCTTCATATAAGATTTCTTTGCTCATATTTCTCATTTTTTAATTATGGAAGATGTATCTACCTTTATATTCCATGAAGATTCTTTATTTTTAATTGAAGATGCTTAATGAAACTTGTCTGCAAGTTGGAGGGACCAAGCTGGGGTCCAGCAGGAACTAATCCTATCCATCATCTCCTTCGTCTGAACTTCCCCTGGCTGGGGGATTGATGTGCCTGATGATTTTGCTCACCCCTCCGTTTGTACGTGGATGGCAGCCCTGAGGGTGGGGGTGGCGTGGAGAGGCCTCTGCACCCCTCCATGCAGCACAGGCCTTGGGCCTCACTGCCCAGCGCATCTTCTGCTTCTTCGCCTCTCCAGGGCTGTGGTCTTCACCAGCACTGCACTTCAGCGGGTCACTGGGAAAGAACAGGGACCGGCCATGAGTAGCAGAAACTGACTGCAGAGCAGGAAAGGGACAGCTAGTCTTGATATAATAGGCACTTACAGACCCCAATAAAAGAAGGAGCAGTGGAGCTGTGTGGAAGGCATGATTGTGTGGACAGGAAAACAATGTATAATAGAACTAAACAAACTTTCCAAACAACCAAGTACAAACAGCCAAAAGATGTGGGAACAAGTGTTCAGCACCCTTAGCCATTAAGACAGTGTAAATCAGAAAAACACTGAGATTCCCATCCCTCTGCTCAGACAGGCTGTCACCAGGAAAACAGCTAACACCAAATGCTGGAGAGTGTGCAGGGAAACGAGTCTCCTTCACCACTGGCAGGGAAGCAAATCCATCCTGTCTCAATGGAATCAGTGTAGAGGCTCCTCCAAAAGTTACAAAAGGAATCTCCTATGACCCAGCCATCCCACATCTGGATGTACATACTCAAAGAATCACAGTCCGCTTGCCACAGAAATACCAACTATTCAGATTCTGCACTGAGCTACTTACAGTAACCACCTGGGGACTCCGGCTAGCCAGCCATCAGTGGATGGATAAAGAAAACGATGCTCTCCTCTGCCGTGGAGAAGGAAATGGTTTTGTCTGTTGGAAAATAGATAGAACCAGAGCTCAGAGTATTAAGTGTCCACACATGGACATGCTAGAGATTTTCTTTCGCATATGGAAAAACAAAATAAAAGAAGATCATGATAGTGAAACAGGAGGCTCTGAGAAGACAGATAAGGGGGAGAGTGTGGTGGTGGGAGGTGAAGAGTTTCATGACTTACACATATGGAAAAGTCCAGATACAACCCTCTGACGGTACACATGAGCGCACACACCCGTTTTTAGTATTGATATGCATGCATGATGATAGTCTCCTTTCTCATATGTATATATTTATATGTATTATGTACACATATGTATATACAATATATACTATATGCCTCTATTGAGAAATTGGACAAGAGAAAAGCCAATATACACTTCAAGAAAATCATTTCATATTGCTTGATTTTCTTGGCATGTGATGTTCAAAATACATTGTTCTCAAATGATCTGGGATTTGAAACATATACTGGTAAACAATTTAATTGAGACACTGCATATGTACCCAAAAGTGAATACATCATCATTTTACAGCTCAATAAAATTCACAGGTGGAACACAACTGAACTCTTCTACTTCCTTTCAGATTGTTTAAAACTTAAAAGGGAGCTGTTTCTGTGTTTGCAAAGACAGAACACAGATGGTGCGTGACTCTGTGGGCCTGGTGGAGATCTACAAGCGTCGCAGTGGGATGGACAGCCCGAAAGAGCCACATGGCACTGCAAAGCCCAGGGCTTGGACCAGCCCCTTCTCAACTCCCTGGGCAGGTGGGCGGTGTCTGTGCACAAGACCGCAGGGAGGGTGTGGCAAAGGCAGAACCTGTGCTTGGTGAGGAAACCGGAAACTGAGGCTCTGAGTCATTCCAAGCCAAGCTTTCCTACCCTGGTATAAGGACCAGCAACCTCTCTCCTGCCCAAACCATGTCAAGACGCGCGGACACCGGGCCTTCCCTGCTGAGGCAGAGAAGGGTTTGCAGCGAACTCTACCCGGAGGCCCCCACGCTGGCCGGGCCTGTCGAGGCTGCACCCCAAGAACCCGCATCTTCAGCACCACATAAGCAAAAAGAAAAAAGCCGGAAGTGGCGCTGTGGCTCAAGTGGTAGAGCGCTAGCCTTGAGCTGAAGAGCGGAGGGACAGCGCCCAGGCCCAGAGTTCAGGCCCCACGACTGGACCCTCCCCCCCAAAAAAAAAGAACCCGGCATCTCCGCTCTCCAGCACTGTCTGTCACCTAGCGAGGGGCTGGCAAGCACCCATGCAGTCCTCTGCAGGGCTGGGGAAGCGGCAGAGACGGCCCGGACCGCAGGTGCAAGGAGGCTCCACCGCACTGCACTGCCCTGGGCAGAGGCCCTGCCGCTGCGGCCTCTGAGGGCTCCATTCAGCCAAGCAGCCTCACCCCAGCCGCCCCGCCCCGCGGCCTGCCCGACCCCATCTCAGGGGCAGGATGTGAAGCGTGGATAACGGTGTGCGTCCTGACTTTTCCACACAAAATAACTAACATTATCCAAGAATTGTACAGACAACTTGGAAACAGACAGCAAGACGGCCTAACAAGCGCGAGGCCTCCAGCTCCAGACCCCGTGTCTCCAAAACGTGACACAATGGGGAGCCGCTAACGCGTGGGGATGTGGACTGCTCCTCCTGAGGGCTTTTTCCATCAATGTCCTCTCGAGCGTCCCCATCCCCCGCCCATCTGACCATAGACTGGCCCTGCCCTACCTAGACACTAGACACACACACAGGGATTAGATGGTGTCTTGTTCCAATCAGGTCCCTTTGTTCAAGCTGACCTGGTGACATCTCTTCTGAGTTTTCTTTTACCAGAGTTATTTGTTATTGGAATGAAGAGCACAGACATGCAAGAGAGGAAGAGAATTTCAATTCATGGGAAATTTTCAAGGTTAGCATAAAAAATGTATGGTTCCTCCATGCTGCTTTCCAGAGTGGTTGAACTAGTTTACACTCCCACCCACAGAGTAGGTCCCTTTTGGCACATCCCCACCAGCATCTGGTTTTGTCAACTTTCCTGATCATGGCCATTCTAACTGGGGAGAGATAGAATCTCAATGCTGTTTTGATTTGCATTTCTTTTATGGACAGAGATGTTGAACACTTTTTCATGTGTCTATTGGCCATCCTTAATTATTCTTCTGAGAAGTCTCTCTGTAAATCTTTAGCCCATTCATTGATTGGGTGGTTGAGTTTTTGAGGGTTTATTTTGGGGAGGTTGAATTTTTTGAGCTCTAAGTGTATTTATCGCTAGTGAAGATTTTCTCTGCATTTCTATAGAATTTTGTTGTTCTTGTCACTTGTTTTCTTAGTGTGTTTATTACAACAGAAACATGGTTTGGCCTTTCTAGTTTCAGAGTCTCTCAGAATTGCTGAAATTATCCTTTGTGTCTTAAGAGATTATGTGTAGATTCATCTAAATTTACTACTACAAGGCAATCAAATAGGAGTACTTTTAAGATACTACATAAAATATTTAGCAGACATTATATTTTTACTCTTATTGTTGTCTTGGGTTTGCATAGTGAACATTAGAGCTCTATTTGTATTTCTTCACCATCATTCATCAGGTTGAGATGTATCTTTGTATTTTTTGCTTTGAAAATATTTCTATAATAATGATTCAATGCTATAAAATGTTCATTCTCTCATTTGAAGACAAACATTACTTTTTTCAGTTTCACACTATTTCTCTATTCAGAGTCAAATGTTATTGTTCATGGAGGTGTTGATATTTTACACGTCTCACTATGAATTTTATAGCTTTTCTTCAAGTTTCTATGTTGAGTGCAGACATGAGTTTGAGTATTTTCAAAGCATTCATCAGTCTTTATGTACTATCAATGATACACCTTAACCTTCACCTTTGTCATTCAAACAGGAACCCTGCCATGCATTCCTGTGGATACACGCTGAATACATAAGCTATCAAACAATGGATGATAAGCTCTCTGGTTCACCCACAGCAACTTGAGCATTCAGAGGTCTTTCCTTATGTTGGTATATAAAAAGTCTCCCTTTTCTTTCGAACAGACTAGATGCATTTTTTTCCTTCTTTTGCTTTTTATTCTAACACTTTTGTAAGTTTGTATGTAGGTCTAAAGAATAATACCAGGATATCTCATTTATCATTAGGGACCAAGTTACTCAAAGTAGTATCATTCTACACAATAGTGTAGCAAATGGAACACTGACAATGGCCATCAGCTGAACAGATTTGTCATTAACCAGTTGGGCAGGTTGTGATTTGTGCAAACAATGTGCCCTTGCTCAGCCACACTTCCTGTGTTTATTTACATGTGTTTGTACCAATTTCTGGGCAGCCTGTATCTGATGTAACAGGGACACTTTGAGTTTAACATGTACACAGTAAAATATTCCCTTTATATTTTAGTTTTAATTTTCCTGCCCCTAGTAATTAACCCTGCCCCTAGTAATGTCCTGCTGAACAGCAGACTCCATAGATGACAGCAATGGAACTGGGAATGCCACATCACCCAGTGACAGTGTGAACCTGGCAAGATCAGCATGATACACAATGCACATGCGTGAGCACTCTGTTGTGAAAACTTACTGCGCCACTGTCAAAAACCAAAGAGCACACCATTATGCACAGTGTGTCATACTCAACTATGTAATAACTAGCAATGCTACTGCTTGAAATGGTTTCGATATTATCTGTTTTAATATTATTTTAGAATGTAATCCTCCTCTTATTTAAAAAGTTGCCATAAACCAGTTGTTCTCTGCAATAGCCCTGTCCACCTGTTCACTGAGCTTACATTTTTCTTGCATTTGATTTTTACCTCTCTTTTTATTTTTTCTCATTGTGAGTCTTAAATGCACAAAAGGGCACCACCAACATTGCCAGCAAGATGACAGAGCTGAGGGGTGAAGGAGCTTCTGCCATCCAGCTCAGAGGCTGGACACAGCAATGTGCACGCAATGAAATCAACTATCTCATTTATCAAGATACATTCTTTTGTTGTGAAGGGACAGATGAGCTGCTTCAAAACAAAAATGAAGTAAAATCATATAGCTGTATCAGGCTTTGAAGTCCATTTTCCTTAGAATTGTTTTTCATGATCTCTAGACCATTCAGATTTATTACAATTTGCCTGAAGTTACAATTTTTTCCTTTTTCTCCCTTATGACTCCAATTAATAGTTCCCCTTTCTGTTATTTGAGCATTCTTTTTCAATTCCACTTTGATTTATTCCACCACATTGATAAGTATTTAAGTACTAAATTCAGGCAGAGGTGATGCTCTGAGAAGGTAAATCATAAAAACAGCTTTTAAACTGTTAACTTGACCCATTAATGATAGCTCCCAGGAGTGCTTGCTTTGGGG